CCTCCCCCCGCCATGTCGCCCCACCTCGCCCCTAACCTAACCCGGAAATCATTCAAAGTACTCGAGAAGTTCGACCATGTGTCATATTATGATGTTTTTGCAGATCGTCTTGCTGATGACACCCAATTTGCTATAGTTGGAAGCTTTGCCGAACAAAAAAGAATTTGGAGCACACAACCGGAAGCACAACCTTGAGGCACTATGCGAGGCCATAAAACAGGTTCTTTGATTGTATGTTGTTGAATTCAATAAAAGGTCGGCTCAACTGACAATAAGGTTTGGACCTTTGACGCTCCTGCCTCTAGGTCACAGGTTTGAGTCCCTTCAGAGCCACTTGAGATTTTTCTAGCTGTCTAAGGTTCTATGGGATTAGTCAAGGCGTGCAAGCTGACACAGACAACCACAGTTATTGAAAAATCCATTAGCGTTCCCACTCTTTGGTCTTGGCATAACGTTGGACCAACAATGAAAGTCCAAACAACTATTCACCACAACTAGTTAGCATCTTAATTGAACCAAAACTTAAATAACTATTGGTTTAAGCTTAGCCACTCTAATTCAACATGGAAGTCACTTAAATTTTTGCTCTGAATTGTATACCAACTAAGTAAAGCATGTTTCGGTACATAACATCATAAAAATGGTTTTCGTGATCAAAACAATGCAAGATATCTGTACCAGTAAGAGTCGTCTTTTGTGTTATATGTACAATATGGATCTATATTGTACGATGACCATCAACCTGTGTCGTTTCAAGTGTAAAGTGAATGAATCGCATACATTGGAAAATGAAAATATATTATGTAACCTGTCCTTCCGGTCCTATGTTGATTTTGGTATGTTTCAAAATGTATTTAATTCATCCAAATCGTTATTGAATCTAGATTTTATTATTGGTTTTATTTTTCTTAGTGGATCATGTCATGTTATTTCCATGGCTCATGCAAATTGGATTCGTGGAACAGGAGGAGGATTTCCCATTCCTTAGCTGGAAAGATATGTGACCATGAAAGGCGAAGGAAGGCTGGAATGCCAACAGACGTCTATTATTGAATTCACCCGTTTCTTTTGATGAATAAATGGTGCATCAAGTTTCCTACTCTACCCTCCCCCTTTTTTTTATATTTAATGATGAACAAATTTATAATAATTTTTCGTGAATGTGATGTACATCTCATATATCATAATTCTCGTAATATTATGATAATTTAATGTCATTTATTTTGTTTTTTTTAACATACTTTTAACTAATAATCAAATAATTTCATTAAAAGTATATATTAACAAACCATAAGGGTTGTAGAGTAATGATTGAGGTCTTAGGTTTGAATCGATACGTATACAATAAATATAATCATTGAGTTTATCATGATTAATTTCTTGCGGTCGTAATTTGTAGGGATTTGATCGAGTGTTTGTAAATATTAAAATATGGTTGATTTTCATCATCCCACATTGATGAGGAGATATAAAATTAAAAGTAGGGAGTGACTACAGGAGAGGCGGGTGCTTTGTGTCAAAGTCATGAGGTTGGTTTTATGTGGTTGATTTTCATCATCCCACATTGACGAGGAAATATGAAATTGGAAATAGGGAGTGACTATATTTAAGGAGGGGTGGGTCAACTCATGAGGTTGGCTCAATTTGGTCCACCCTATTTTTGTGAAGAATAATATTTATATAGATAATTAAAAGAATGTTTTTGTATTAAATAATATAATTCGTTCATTTTAACTTTATTTTTGCAGAACATTTGTTCATATAAGAAATATTTTTATATCAATAGACTTTAGAATAACAACGAAAGACAATGATATGAATTTACTGTATATTTTATATTATAAAGTTGAATAAAAAACTTTAAAAATAATATTACTTTTTTTTCCTCACATCATCTTTCGAATCTCACATTGGATGAAGGAATGAAGGAGGGATGTGGGAGACAGATACAAAAAGAAGAAGGGCCAACTTTTTTTTTTCAATATTGTTTGTATTCCACATTGGATGATGAAATGAAAGTGGCAAGAGGTAGATCACTATAAAAACTGATTAACAATGGAACAGATATATCTTTCTTGACTTTTTTGTGGGGGAATATTCATTATCTTAGTTTGGTGATGCATAATCTTGAGCTTATAATAGTGTTGTTATAGCTTACGTACCTCTCTAATTTACACTTGAAATATTATAGAATGTTTTTTCTTCATAACTTTAAATGAAATTTCAATTAAATTTATTATAAAATTAAATTATGACTTTGTCACCTTAAATGAGATCTCAGTTAAAATCATGACTTCTGATAAAACAAGCTACTAACATTAGTTAACATTTGTAAAGTAATTTGCATGACCGTTGTCAAGTATATAAATTAGAGAACCTAAATTAATATACAATTTTAAGATTGTTATTAACTTCTCTTAATAGCTTTAATGTTAATGAGTAGTTTTTTTTTTTTTTTTGAAGTATAATATTTATATACGGTAAATAGAACAAATAAATCAACGGATGAAAATCATAATGTTTTACAAACAACATAGAGGAAAAAGGGTAATTTACTCATGTGATTGTTATTATTTTTTTGATTAACCTGGATATACAACCTGTTATGTGAGCCGACTAATATCAGGGCAACCACCTGCTTTGCAGATAGCCTGGAGTTACCGCATTTGAATCTCTGTGGCCACAAGCCCACAAGGTGATTTTTATTCCTTCTTGAATTTGAATATGAGACCTCCAGGTACTTTAATCTTTCGAACCAAACTCAAACCAATCAGAAACCACACTTATATTCAGAGATTGTTATTATTCATATGGTAGAATAAAAATACATACAAAATAAGTAACATATTTTCATCCATTTTCATATTTTAAATGTTTATAGTTCCAAAGTTTCTACTTTAATATCCAAAATTTCATGTTGTGGTTCATTCAATTGGTGTCGATGGAATGAATTATATAAAGAACAATAACGACGCATGATTCGATGGGCTTGTAAATTCGTAGCTTTGAAAACCACTCTTTCTTCATTCCCTCTTAAGATCACTCCATTTTTCATATGCAACAATCACTTGCTGTTCGATTTGCCCAGATTTTGTCATGGGTCCTGCCACCCGTTCGATGAAATGCCTCAAAGAACCCCAGGTCATTCGTCTGTTGGGTTTTTTGATGTTCTTGATCTTGTTGAGATTTGTAAAGTGACACCCAATGTAAGAAATGTAGGGAATGTTCACGTCTTGGCAGTTAAGGTTGGTGTTCTTGCTCATCTGCCCACTTCCACCTCTCTCGTTATGGCTTATGCTCGAGCTGGACATTATCGTTCTTCTGTGGCAGTTTTTAATGAGATTTCTTTTAAAGATGTAATAATTTGGAATGCAATGATGACGGGTTCAATAGAAAACGGGAGATTTAGAGATGCAGCAAGTGTCTTTGTTCAAATGTTGAGAGAAGGGATCAAGTTTGATTCTGTAACTCTTGTGATTGCCATTTCAGCCTTGTCAAGAATCACATATAGATTGGCATATCTACAGGCTGTTCACAGTTTCGGCTTAAAGGAGGGTTTGCTTTTGGACTGCGATCTGTATAATGCTCTTATTAATGCGTACGCTAGACGCGGTGACTTGGGTTCCTCGGAGCGTGTGTTTCTTGAAACAGATGTTAAAGACAGAATTTCATGGAACTCTATGATCAGTGGTTGTCTAAGCAATGATCATCCTGAGAAATCTTTATGGTATTTCAAGAAGATGGTTTCGTGTGGAAAACAAGTTGATAATGTGGGATTATCGTGTGCTATTGCATCATCAACTTGTTTGCTAGATTCGCATATTGGTAACATCGTTCATGGGTTGGGGATAAAACTTGGATACGATGAGAGCCCTCATGTTTCTGTACTGAACGCTCTTGTTTCCTTCTACTCTAAGTGTGGAGATATCAATGCTGCGTACACTGTCTTTAGAGGGATATACGCCAAGGATTTGGTTTCTTGGAATACTATGATTAACGGGTTTGCTTCAAACGGGATGATTCTTGAAGCATTTCATCTTCTTAGGGAAATGCAGTTTAGAGGATCAGTCGAACCAGATACAGTAACAATACTTGCTGTGCTTTCACTATGTGCAGAATCGATGCTTTTAAGAAAGGGAAAGGCGATTCATGGATTCGTTACAAGAAGATTACGTGGATCAGACCTGTTGTTGATTAACTGTCTTATGAACATGTACTCTAAATGCACCAAAATGGCCGAAGCTGAGAGTTTATTCGTATCTATACGCGATAAAGACTTGGTTTCTTGGAATACAATGATCTCTGGATATGCCCAAAATGGTGAGTCAAGATTTGCTCAATTTTTGTTCAAGAAACTGCTGTATCAGTCTTTGGATTGCACTTTGTCAACTGTTCTAGCAGTTCTATGTTCTTGCAATTCGCCTAACTTTCTCCGATTTGGGAAATCGCTACATAGTTGGCAACTGAAATTGGGGTTCTCAAACAATATTCTTGCGGTTAATTCCCTACTGTGCATGTACACCAATTGTGGAGACCTGAAAGCTTCTTACATGTTGTTACTAAGTGTTTCGACAGTCGCAGACACTGCTTGTTGGAACGCGATGATCGCAGGCTGCACACAAAACGGATATTTCATAGAGGCTTTAGAGACTTTCAAACTGATGAGAGGAGAAGAACATGCCAAACACGACTCTGTTACCCTTGTAAGCGTCATTTCAGCTTGTGGAAACCTTGAATTGGTATTTCATGGGAAACTGGCTCATGGGTTCGCTCTGAAAACTTCGGTTGATGGAGATGTTCGTGTAAGGAATGCTTTGATTACGATGTACGGAAGATTGGGCGACGTTGACAGCGCAATGATCATGTTCGAATTGTGTTGCAATCGCAATCTTTGTTCATGGAATTGCATCATTTCTGCGCTCTCTCAGAACAAAGAAGCTAAAACAGCAATACATTTGTTTCAAAATCTGGATTTTGAACCTGATGAGATCACAAACGCTACAATTCTCTCTGCCTGTACCCAACTTGGAACAATCAGATATGGAAAACAGATCCATGGACATATCTTGAGATCCGATTTTCACCGAAACTGTTTCATAGTTTCCGCTCTTGTCGACATGTACAGCAACTGCGGGAGGTTAGACATGTCCATCCGTATATTCCATACGTCACCACAAAAGACTGTTGCAAGTTGGAATTCTATGATTTCTGCATACGGGTTTCACAGCGAAGGCCAAAAGGCCATCGAGATGTTTGAAGAAATGATAAAGTCTGGAGAAATCCCGACGAAAACCACTTTTATCAATTTGTTATCAGCTTGTGCTCATTCGGGACTAGTCGACGAAGGCCTCACGTACTATGCTCGTATGTTTGATGGATTTGGCATAGAACCTGTCACCGAGCATCATGTTTGTGTGGTTGATATGTTGGGTAAATGTGGAAGGCTAACCGAGGCTTATGAATTTATAGAGAGGATGCCGGTGAGACCAGATCAAGGCGTTTGGGGAGCAATGCTGAGTTCGTGTAATTATCAAGGAGATCTTGAGATGGGGAAGAAGGTAGCAGATATTCTTTTCGGTTTGGAACCTAAAAACGCTGGATACTATGTTTCATTAGCGAATGCATATGTTGCTGCTGGAAGTTGGAGTGATGCAGTGAAGCTAAGAACGTTTGTGCAAGATGTGAGGTTAAAGAAACCAGCAGGTTACAGTCTCGTTGATGTTGGTTCGTGATGACTTCATAGGTAAGTCGCTAAACCTTGTTAATTATAACGAGTTAACGACACCCTGTGTCGGGCTCCAACTGTGATTTTTAGAGTTTCGTAAAGAAAATATATGAATCAACAATCAACTTGTGATAGATTTCACCATGGTCTTTATGGAAAAACCTCATAAGAAACATATAGTGAGTCTGCTTGCATACACCTCAACTAATTCCATGGTCTCCTGCATGTTTACGTTTTCATAAATCCTTACGAAGCGTGCCAGAAATCTTTTGGTGGTGCTGAGTTAGTCATACATGCTCTAACTCTTGTTTATTTATTTATTGCTTCGATCGTCATACATTAGTCTTTATTCCTTCTACTTGTTTGTTCACACACTTGCAAAAATCGAGGGTTTTCATAAAACAACCGCTCTAACCTTTACGGATAAAGGTCACATTTGCATACATCGTACCCCAAATGCTATTTTTCATACACCTTGTTTTGAGATCTTCACCGTGGTCTTTATGGACAAGACTTCATATATAGAATTAAGAAACATCTCAACCATCAAAACAAAACAAAGAAAGAAAAACACTCATTTAACTCAAAGCGGATGAATGGAAATGAAAAACCAAATGGACCCAACATATCTCACTTGGAAGTAAGGTCTGAACAGTGGGATATATATAGGCCCGTTCTCCACCCCAAAGTGTAACGCTACTAGGAAACTTGATAAAACTCTAAAGTGTGAAGTACAAGGGAGTTCGACAGAATTCACTAATGATCAATGAAATTTGTTTAGAACACTTTGGCATGGCCATCACTCCATTTTTGCGAAACAACTTTCTGTGACGCAGGCTACTCAAGTCAAACCAATCACAACGGTGTAAGACATACCATATCATCTTGCAGCAGAAAGGTACGTTCATTCATAAAGAAACCCAAACGAATCCAGTATATCTCACTTAAATCATAAACAAAAATCTGTCAGAGGTCCTAGATAAGCTTCAAATACAGATTAAAAACAAAACAAGTTCAGGGGTACATCTGAATGTTGCTGACTTTGAAATAAAGACTCAACCGTATAGGCAAAACTCACAGAACAGAAACCCAGAAAATGGTTTAAAGTAGCATATGGTTTGTTCAAAACTTGGTCGAATACCAGATACAGAATAAAGTTGTTCTCCTTCCTATAATTACTTTTGTCACAGAATCATATGATGCAGGAAGGAGATGGATCTCATCAAAGGGAGAAAACTGTCAACCTCCCCCAGATTCCTTTGAAAGAAAACATAAACATTCTAGAATGTACTAGAAAGCGAGCGTGTTAAGCTAAAACTCATAGTCAACATGTTGACTTGGAATGGTACGAGCACCCATATGGATATGGTACAGAACTGATCACTATTACCTGTGTTTGTTTTGCTCTTGCTGAGTTGAACAGAAAATTAATCATCCAGATAATAATATGATCCAGCACCCTTCTGCTCCCTGTCCTTGGTTGAGTCAAGCTTGTTAATTCTTGGCCGATAATTAGTCGGGTCACGCCTGAATGTGATGTTCAGATGCTGTACCACATAACCAAACACCAGTATTACAATCAATATTAGATCTACATTAGGACACTCCCATTTTCCCAAAGTAAATGTAACATTTGACTTAACACAACACATATAACAGAAAGTATTCAACTAATGGTATAATACCTAAAATACCCATCAACAGTGACAAAATAGAATTATTACCAAGATAAATATCAGACAGTTATGCATAATCAGGAAGGTGAGACTTACAGATAAGAAGAGGTTCATTCCGGTCAATAGCGACTGAGGTGCATTTGCAGTACAATCTATTGATGGATTTCCTTCATAAACAATGACTCTATCTGCTAGATAAGTTGCCATTATGAAGTCATGTTCAACCACGAAAGCAGTCTTCTTTGCATGGAGTATGAATCTCTTTATAACTTTTGAAGCAACAATACGCTGCTCAGAGTCCAGGTATGCACTTGGTTCATCGATCAAGTATATATCGGCAGGCTGAAACAGAAGGGAAACACTAAACGATTAAATAAATTAAAATTTTCCAAGCCCATGGCATACAAGTAAAACCACTAATTACACATATTCCTACCATATTGAAAATTAGTTTCAAATTTCTAAATTATGAGATCTATTTGCCATTCTCATGGCCATTGTCGATCCTCATATAAACCATGTTTGTATTGGTTTAAAGATAAGGAATAGTGATTAAATTAAAAACAAAGGCGGATGAAGGTGACACACTATCGAACATAAAGAACAAAATGAATTTTCAACATAACATTAATTAGAGTTCCCAGAGCCTCCAAACTGATTTAGAATCTTAACAACTGTACAGTGCCACCCTACCTCTAAGCAGATACCCTTATTTGGTGAGACTATCTGGCATTAAATGGCATTTCCTCAAAAAAAAAGTATGCTAAATTCCAGTCAACATAGTTTTAAATAAAAAAAGAGTAAGAGACTTCTTATATGGCATTTCCTAAAAAGAAGGAACGACAAGTGGCCAAAAATACTATTTAGCAGCAAGATTACCAATAATGAATCCAGTTGCGAATCTTAGTCCTCCGAGTATAAACTATGTTTTAGCTTCTTTTACCTAATAGTCACATGAAAAGTTAAATGAAGTATCATAACCTTTTTGCAGCAAGACTACCTTATTTGCTCCTAGTTCTCCTTCCTTCTCCTATTCTGCAGGCATAAGTTCATCGAACATCCATAAATAATCCAGTTCGGGCCTTGAATCACTTTCCTTTTTCCTCCCTCTCCCCCAATCAGAAAAACAAATTAATACTGCCCTATAGAGATGGACGATTCTCATGAAGCATATTACTCCTCCAACTGCAATTTTCATTTAAAAAGGTCTCCCTGAAATCCATCTTCATCAACTTACCGTCAAATCAGATGACAAGGTAGCAACTAATAAACAATACACTTCTCCAAAAGGCACGAAGCAATAACCTTTAGTGCACAAAAAGGTCAAACTAATTTATCTTTAAAACCCTCATTCTTAAGGGCAAACTCTTCTATTCTGGTTCATGTTCTCACTTGGCTATATGGTCATCCTTACTTCCTCCGGCTTATCAGCAGCAGTCTGTTCCAGGTTCCAAACTCAATGATGGCAGCTAAGCACAAGGTTCTGCTCATTGAGCTTAGGCAAAAGTAATAAGCAACATCGAAGAGATATCCATGATGCATAGAGGTTTCAAAAAGATATGCATAACGAATCCAGCATCAAACTGGTCTTTAAAAGAGAACCAGATACAGATTAAAAATAAACATGAGGTCCTAAAAGGTGATATGAGCCAGAAGCAAACCTGGCAACCAAAGATTAGCCAAGGCTACCATGTCAAAAAGGATTTAACAATAATCATGCAGCAACTTGCACATCACCTTGAAAAATAAAATATGAACCACAAGAGACCTATCCATTTAAGCTATATTGCAGGCATACTAGGGAACTAGAGATTTAGAACAGTTACTTTTTCTTTCTTGTCCACTTAGATGAGTTTTAGATCATGGAAAAGGAATCCCAAGAAAAATGTATCATGTTGCCAAAAGTCAAAAAGTATATAATCAAAAGATATTAGTATATTACACAAGCAGAAGCATAGGACTGCTATGCAATATTCCTGCGCAGTCATTTCTTGATAGGATTTGGTGCTAGAAGTAAGAATTTATCAACCAAGATAACAAAACAATGTTGACTTCTAAAAAGATATATGTAAAGGAGAGAATTTACCTTCCCTAGGCACAGGCATAATGCAACTCGTTGCAATTCTCCACCAGAAAGGTTCACAACTTCTTGATCCATTAGTTGCTCAATTTGAAGAGGCTTCATGACGTCAGAAACAAACTGTGGATGCATATATGAGTCTCGAATCTTTTGATGTAACAAGTGCCTGACTGAATGTGGAAACTTCGGACTGATTTTTTGGGGCTTGTATGAAACATTATACTCAGGTATCTCGACATCAGTGCCTTCAATAGTGTCAGGCTTCAGTATACCAGCCTAGGTTTGACGGGTATATTAGCTTAGGCACCAGAACATACAAGATAATAATCATAAACCTTTTTTACAAGAAAGAAAAGCCCCACCAGCATGCGGATAAACGTCGTCTTCCCAGTTCCATTCTCACCAAGCATCACTATGATCTGAGAGTCTGTGAATTCACCCTCGGCCACATTCAGTTTGAAACCACCCTGAGTTTTAGACATAGTTGGGTATTTATAGCGTGCATATGTTTCAATTTCCTCTGCACTTTCCTGCGGTGTCTCAGCAACCTTTTCCCATAGAGCAAGGAGAGGAGTGAAACCCAAAAAACAAGTTAATACTTAATAGTGATGCTAATGAAATGGAATTAGCTAACAACCAAGACAGTAGTACCTTGAAAGTAAGAGATACTTCACGGAACCGTAGATTTTCAGTAGGCACCTTCCCCTCCAAAAATATATTAATTCCTTCTCTGACGGAGAAGGGTAGTGTTACAACACCATATGCACCAGGTTTCCCATAGAGGCAGCAGATAAAATCTGATAGGTAATCTAGGACACTTAGATCATGCTCAACAACAATCACATAGCTGAAAATGAAGTGTCAAACAATAAAGTTCATAAGTTCTAGTAGACATCATAAGTAAAAAAAGATGAGAATAGAGAGCAAGCGTAATAAAACCTATCAGGTCTGAGCAAGGATCTGATAACTTGGGCAGCTTTAAGCCTTTGTTTAACATCGAGGTAGCTTGAGGGCTCATCAAACATATATATCTCTGCATTCTGTATGGCAACAACAGCAATGGCAAACCTCTGAAGTTCTCCACCAGACAGATCTCCTACATTACGATCTATAACTTGATTTAGCTGAAGATCAACACAGAGCTCTTCCTTTACACCTCTCTCGTCTTTTTGATCAAGCACTTGTCCAACATTCCCTTGAACTGCTTTTGGAATATGGTCAACATACTGGGGTTTTATGATAGCCTATTCAGTAGAAGAAAAAATAGTTAAAATACGTTATGCAAAGCAAGATAATACTGTATGGTACATCATAAATTAGTTACAAAAATATGCTTTATGAACAAAAGCTGAATCATACAAACACCAGTAGAAATCCCTTTGGTGGCATGAACATGAACAATTTTGTATAACCAACTAAAGGACACTGTTCCCTATGTATGACCGAGGCAGACTTGGCCAGGTAAGTGAAGACAGGCATGTGCTACTTGGTATGCACTACTTCACATGTGTCACAACCCTGCATATCCCAAATCACAAATGTGTATGTGGAAACAGTATTCCCTCCATAGAACAAGTGTCCTCGCTTAACTCAAGACCCTAGGTAAGAAAGGAAAACTTCAAGTAAAAATATTGAGGCCATACATTATCTTGTATATATACCCTTCAACAGTTCTGCTATTAAACAAAATTCAGTTCGACTTCTACTCTACTTTCTTTTTCCTGAAGAGTGAAGATTCCCTTGGCCTATGGGACTAATATAATAATTTACCTGGTAGGGGACGAGGAATCAATCTAAAGAAGATGTCACCATTTATCTTAATTCAGCATTCCCCCCAAATAAGGTATGCATCAGGGTATTTTAGCAATGTAATTGTCATCATTGCCTTAATTGGGAAGACACCTGTTCTAGGACACCCCAGTAAGCAAAAGGGCATGTAATTCAAGGTAGAGGGAGTAACAAGTAAAAGAGAATGAATAAAATAATAAGAAAACAAACAAATTCACCTATGCAATCCTTAAATGTAACTCAAAAAATCTTAATTTTCGTAGAGAAAACTCTGGTCTGTATCCAACCAATTTGTCTGAGTATTTCAGGCTTGAGAAATATTTTCTTTGGATTTCTATTAGAACAAGAGTAATGTAGGATACACTGAAGGCCATCTATACAAATAATTGGAATAAGGCACTGGAATGATTGGTAGAAAACTGATAAATGAAGACCATTTTTAATTATATGTGATCTAGTGTTGACTAACTATGATACTGGGTCAAAATGATGCTTAATACATCTGTCATTAGATGCAATTGCAATTGCATGGCCCAACAATAAATTGAGGTGTCAACTTGATCCATTTAATTGATAGATCAATCAATTTTTCTGTGCAAACAAGAGAGCCAAAGAGATATAATAACCACCAATAACTATTGGTCCAGGATTTGGCATAGGTTTCGAGGGAGCAAAGGAGCTGAATATTAAGTTTGCTCAAACAAGAAGCGGGAAAGACGAAAAACTGAGGGAAGAAAAATAAAATGAATGAACACTCAGTTAAAACTACCCCAACAAACCAAAACTGGAGAAACTACACCATCATAAAGAAGAAACCATTAACATCCTGACAAGCGTCAGCCAATTATCAAGTCCCTTTAATTAGGAATAGTATAGTAATAAATCATTGAGTAACTTGAAATAATAATCACCGTAACCTTTTAAGCTACCTGGCCCTTTTATTTAAGTGCTGAAAGGGAGTAAACAATTTGTTAGAATTTGGAAATCACACATATTATACTTCTTTAAGGATGGCTCAATTTAGTTGTTACTCTTAGTCCAATAAAGTTAGTATCGTTCGAATCATGATGTTCCTCTAACTTCGTCAACTAAGATAAGAAGTCCAGCAAATAAAGTGAACTTTCACCTTCATATATTGCAAGTACTATAATATTAGGACACAAAAAGAGTGCACCTTTAGATTATCTTCCAGAATACGTGTGAAGTAATTTTGCAACTCAGATCCTCGGAAGTAGGTCAAAATTTCTTGCCAATCTGGGGGGTTCTGTGAAATTTTTGAAAGCTTAAATCAATTCTAAATAAACATAAATGTGTGTGTCCTTGCCTGCACCAAGAATATATTAATGACAAGGATCAACTGAATTACACTAAAACGCCCCAAATTGGGTTTCAATTTCCCAGCCAAAACTTTGAGGGCAGTAGACTTCCCAATGCCGTTTGTTCCAACCAGACCAAGAACTTGCCCTGGACGCGGAACCGGCAACCTGGCATTCAAAATATATCATTTCACTATTCACCAATAACAGCAGCATCATTCTGAAGTAAGCATGGTGGTTTGCTAACCTGTGTAATTTAAAGCTGTTGACCCCATAACGGTGAGTTGTATCTTTGTCCAAATCTTTCGGTAAATTAATGATCTCAATTGCTCCAAATGGGCATTTCTACATTGACATAACAAAAGAAAAGCAGGTTGAAGCACTGAATCATCTTTGTGTGTTGAAAAGATTGCTGGGCAAGAAGATATCACATGGTATACCAACCTTGACACATATACCACACCCTATGCAAAGCTCTTCAGAGATATAAGCAGTCTTAGATGCAGAAGTGACCTCGATACACAATTTACCTACAAACAAATTGAAAGGAAGCAAATATTGATGATAGAAGAATCGTTACAAGGTCTCAAACAATAATGTTTATCAACTTCTTCCTTTTTGTAGGAATAATCATCACAAGAAGAGCACAGCAGAATCAGTATTATATTGTTAATGCTTAACAATATACAAGTATATTCCATTCAAAATTACCATTTTGCTTCCTTTATTAGCCAATGCCAATTCAGTATATAACTTACCCTTCAGGAAAGAGAACTCAAGGAAATAAACCATTTTACCTCTATAACCAACAATTATTTGTCTCAGCATTAGTCTCATAGGTAACCAGATGTACTGATGGTATAATCATCTAAAAACTCATCAACAAATAAGGCATGGGTTTAATGCCATCCTTGGTGTATTCCAATCTCATAACAAATACTGATGACCACATGAATCCACAGATGTTATTGCTACATCACCCTTGTCCAACACATGAACAAACTTCATAGTCATGTTTCATCTTATTGCAAACCCTACAAAACTTTCTTAGGTGAACCACTTCTCTGATATAGAGGAACACATGAAGGTCATCTTAGTTACCATGATGTCTCTCCAGCAGTTAACAAAGATAAAAAGTCCGACACTTCCTCAGCATCAAAGCAAGATGACTTTTAAAATATTAGCTCAGATGAGATGGCATATTCATAGCAGAACTAGTAAGCGTAATCTGCTGATACTAATTATGATGTCCAACAAAAAAACAACTGCTTATAGTAGAAGTTAAAACCATTGAACTTCTATTGTTCTACGTTGTTCGGGCATCTTTTAAATCCTTAGGACAGATTATTAGTCCTTATAACAGAATATGTTTGTCAATAGTTTGGATTCAAATTGTGTCACTTGGTGATCTAATATGACCCATGATCCAACTAAATGGATGACTTAATCCATTAGGTAATGGATCATCATCTGATCCATGATCTATGTATCAGATTATGATTAGGTCCATTTGATCAACCTTTTCCACATCCCCTTGACAAAATTTCCACAATTGCTAAACATAAATCACATTTTCATATAACTTTAATATACTTATTGTACCTTGTAAGTTTATCAAGCATAACAGCAAAAACTTAATGATAAAACCATATTTAGGAAAAGGACCATACTATAAATGCACTAAGGGCCCGTTTGGTTTGATGGAATGTTTTTGAGGGATTTGGGAATGGGAGGATCTGGAATTGGAAAATTTTGAAACTTTTGGTGTGTTTGGTTTATATGAATTGGATTGGAATTGAATTCTTTTTCTTATAAATAATTTATAAAAACAAATCATAAAAAATTATAAAAATAATCAAATTACCTTTTTATTAATTGATAATTACAAAACAAGTCTTTTTAACATATATTTAGAACATTATTACAAGCAAATCCTATGAAATCCCACGAAGTACCAACTTACCCCTTGGGATTTCAAAATCCTATGTTTGTAGGATCTCAATGAAATCCCGGGATTGCAAATCCAGGAAATCCTTCAAACAAACATAGAATTGGAATGGAATTCAATTCCAAATCCAATCCAAACCCCTAATCCAAATCACAACTCTACTTTTTATAATAACACACGTTCTACAAAACAATTTTCAAGATGAATGAATGTTGAAAACACTGTATTTAGTAAAAACATTTTTTTCTGAATTATCTTGCCAACAACCATGTGATATAGGCCTTATCTATCTACAACTTTTTCCAATCTTGATGCTATTTATCTATGCAAAAACATTCTATTAGTATCATTAGAAAATTTGTAAAATTCTAGATGTTAATATTCTTCATAAACCTTTTCAGATCAGTAAATAATTGCTCTAAGCCTCTATCTTCTTTTTCCATGTCTTCTTCATCAAACCATAAGATTTCATTCTTCATACACTTGAGCAGAAATTTCATTTTGGCAAATAATCATAGGCACTAATAATCAATTGATGATTGAAGTCGAACTTTTTGATGGTTCAAAGGTAATATGTGGTCATTATCAAAGATGGCAGTGGAATTAAAAAGATATAGACTTCTAGAAGAATAAATTTCTTTAATAAAAATAAGGTGGAATTTCAAATATTCTTGTCCATGTCAAAATTTTCATATATGATTCCAAGTTAACACCCTATGTTCTTTTATTAGCAACCTTGCATACATCATCTCATTTGTGTTTCCTTCTACAAGAAGGTAGTTGTAGACTTCACGATTTTTTCCATCCCATTGTACTTTGTAAAGATCTACAACATCCATTTCTGTCTAGTCTCTATTAAGATCTCCTCATTTCATCATCGTAAATATTTTCATTGGGAGAATGGCAGTGGGGTATGGAAGAATGATACATTTTGCCCAAAAGAGTTGTCAAGATGACAAATCCTATAACTTATTATTGTAACCTGATAAGGAAGAGTAAACCAAGTGTGTGGTAAACTACAACAAAATTTAATGTAAACAAAGTAAATGTAATATTAATCAATAGGTTAAGAACAATTGCTTTCCGAGAGCACGGAGCTAGGGTAGCAGACTATGTTGGGGCCCATGTAGCTAACAATGACCGAAGGAAAGGAGTTTGGAGAAGATAGAGGGTGGGCGTGGGGAGGGGTGGACCAGTGGCACTTAAGGTACCAGAGTCCTACATTAGACAAAGGGTGGTGTTAGTTTTTCCAGCCTTTAATGTCTTACTTGTGCATCTACTTGTGGGACCACCCTTTACGTATGTCAGCGTTAGTATTTCCTATTTTTACTATGTATGCCAATCTTTGTTTTTCTGCTTTTATTTTTTGCCAGACATAAGGTAGGCTGTCCTCCTGCCCTGGTGATTTGCGAGTGCAACACTCTATGCCCCATGGTTGTTTCATCTTATATCCCTCGTACTATACATGTTGCTCGTTTGCCCACACTTCTCTGCTACATCCCACACTTGTTTTTTTTTTCTTTTCAAGTTGGGGGTCTTCAGGGAAACAGCCTCACTACGACACTACCCCTTCATGGTAAGGTCTGCATACATCCTACCCTTCCCAGACCCTACCTCTGTGTGGGATATATTGGGTTCGGTTGGTTTGGTTTATCTAAAACACCCAACACCACGGAGAACACTATCTCAATCTATAAAAATAGAACAGGTAATATAATCCAGAATAAGCTAATTTTGTTTCTCCCAGCTTTTAATCAAGCAACTAACACAACTACCATATCAAAATTCAGTCACGATTGTGAAAAACAAAAAATCCATAAGAGGCAACACCAAAGATCCTACATGTGCTAAAAATTAGTTTCTTACTTTTAATACAAAATCCTGGAGATAACTGAACACCTCAACTAATAATATGAATGCACATGCCCTGAACTAATTCAACATTACAACTACCAAGTATGTATAAGACCAAACGTATCCAACCTGTTAAACAAAATCAGTGCATCATAGAAGAAGACATAAACAACATCTTCAGTTCTGAAGACTCGCTTTTTTTTACTTCAAAACCAAACGACCAGCTGATATCAGTAGGAAAAGAAATCATACTCAGCCGAGTTAACAGATTATCCTTCCGTTCCAAACTATTTGACTAAATAAATCACTCTAGATCCAGAAAATCGCAACATTAGAAGTATCTACATAAAACTAAACCCTACACATGAGAGATAAACCCTATACAGATCAATTCAGAAAACCTAAGTGATGAAACAGAGATATCAGAAAGAAAAAAAAACATCAAAATAACAAAATAAATTGAGCGAACGACAATCTAAAGTTAACAGTGAGAAATTGTTACCAATTTTTACAACAGGGCAGCTCTTTTTGCATTCTTGCCGGCACTTCTTTGGCTTGCAACGGTCTTCCTTGATAATAGCGATACGCGTCAATCTATCGGCCATTGATGAAAGGATCGAAAACGCACCCACACAATTCAGAAGTATGTTCGGAACGAGTGATTCACCGCCCACCGCTTCTTTGATCAAGGGTTCCGGGAACAGGATTATTCCTTTTGCCCCTTTAACTTTACGTATATTTCTTTTTCTCGTCCTTATGCTTTAACATTTATCAAGTTTAACCCTTCATCTTTTGTAGTCAACAAAGACGCTTAAAAATTTGTCTAATAATTATGAACTAAAGAATTTTTGCCTCCCAAAATAAAAACCATACTTCGTTATAAATCTATACAATATCATAAAACATTTGACAGCAATTCTTAAAAATCATTTTTTATGCATAAAGTATTGTTTATTGATGCATATTACTTAAAATTCAATATTACAAGTAATTTTGTATAAGTACAACTTATTAAAGCAACACATTCGTATAACTAACTACAGATAAACATAATCAAATACATGATAAATATCCATTTTAAATATAAAAAATCTAAAATATAATTAAGATAATTATTGAGTTCTAATCGAATATTTAATTATTATTTTTTTAAAAAGTATATTATTAAACATAAATTAAATTACTTTGTTACGTTAAATTAAATTATAATAAAAATTTTGAATTAAAGAAATTACACAAAACAAGAACTTTTATATATACAATACTATAAAGCATTTGACAACAACTCTTAAAAATCATTTTTTATATATGGAGTATTGTTTATTGATACATATTACTTAAAATTCAATATTACAAGTAATTTTGCTTAAGTACAACTTATTAAAACAACATTTTTAAAATCGTGTAACTAATTGCAGATAAACATAATCAAATACATGATAAATATTCATTTTAAATATAGAAAATCACAAATATAATTAAGATAATCATTGAGTTCTAACAGAACATTTAATTATTATCTTAAAAAAATTATATTATTAAACATAAATAAAATTACTTCGTTACGTTAAATTAAATTATAATTAAAAAATTAAATTAAAGAAATTAAACAAAACAAGAACTTTTAAATAGTTAATTTGATACTAACATCGATATAGTTCTTTCAAATTTTTATGATATTTTATTCAAAAATAAAAACATTATTGCTTTCTCAAAACCACATAAAATTGTAATATATTGACACAGATAAAGAATAAAATGAGACATCGAAATCGAGATGTGTCTCGATGCATTGCACGAGTACCTATCTAGTTTTTCAAAATTGATATGAAAGTTAGAAGTCATATTTTTATCAGAAAAAACCTGATGAAAATTTAATGAAAAAAATCTGATTTTCAACAGTTAAGTTATTGAACATTTTTTTAAAAATAAATTCATGAACTTTCTAAATTCTATTATGTAGATCTTTTAACCTATACAACTGAGATTTAGTTGGCTACTCGCATGTTAGAGAACTGATGAGAGACATAGTCGATGCCAATATAGCTGTAATTTTGGGTATCTAATTGAAATGGTATATATTCGTTGTGTTTATTGGATCTATTTATTCAACTTTAGAAAATTATGGAACTTATTCGTTCATAAATACTTACAGGGACTTAATTGTTTAAAATATGAAAATTTGTTGGGTTTTTTTTTCAACCACATGAACCGGCAAAATAGCAGATTTAATCAGTTGAAAAAAGTCTAGGAATTTATCTGTTTAAAAAATTATCCAAAACTTAATCATTCAAAATTGCTAGACTTTTCTCTTTTTCATTTTAAAAAATCATATTGCAACAATCTTAATGTAACACCCTCATTTTTTTTTTTTTTTTGAGAATGTCACGTAACCTGAATCAATTTCCTGAATACATAGTCCAAAAGACGGCTAAAATATCACCGTTCTAATCGTTTACAGCGGAAGTCTTTGAATCCCAAAATTTTAACTTAAGTTCAAACCCACCTTCACTTGGGGTTAAGTTACAAAAGATCATTACAGCGCATCTTAGACAAAAGACTAAAATGAGATAATAATAGGCAACACTCTAAGCATGTCCTTTGCCTTTGTCCGTCATTGAACTATCTGGGCCTGAGATGCATACTATAGTCAGCTTATAAAGCTCAATGAGTTCATGGTTTTCGTGTATAAAAACATTGTACGTCATACATTTCAACTTGTAAACCTTGTACCAAGTAGCATGCAATTTCTGAAAACATGCAACACTGAAAGAAATGAGATCTCCTAAATTATATGTCTGAAATGGGTCATTTAGTCACAAACACGCCCTGGGTTGATACTTTATTCTCGATTGATCACCCACTTGTCCGGGTAGTGTTTTATACTGGTCGTGACTTATTAGTCACCAACACGCCCTGGGTATCACAATCTTAACTTATCACCCACTTGTCCGGGTAGTGTTTTATACTGGTCGTGACTTACTGGTCAAATGCCCAACCTTAAATCATCAAACTTTAGAAAAGCATGCTAGAGTTATTCGAAACATGATTAAACACATAGCATGCAATTGATCATAAAACGTCATACATGTAAAACATATCATGTATGTAAACTGAAACATCATGCATTTGTACCACCATCGTATAATGCTTGAAAATCAATTTATACATAGGTATGCATCCCATTGTAAGTCTCATGAAGACTCACCTGATAGCGTTGATTGCTTAGTTAACGGCGTTGACTGGTAACCTACAATTTATAGTAGCGAATAATACATAAATGATAATTTCCTCAAAAGACTATAAAAGTCATCTTACGGTCAACTATTCGCTTGCTATTCTAGAAGTCTTATCGAACCATCGTGGCTAAGGATGAAACTCTAAGGCTGCCTCTGTGCTAAGTTTGGGAGAGGACCAGAGCCTCTGTGGGTGACCAGAGCCTCTGTGGTATCGACCAGAACTTCTGTGGTCTCTCTCTTCCAGAGCTTCTGGTTTCACGACCAGAGCCTCTGGTTCCAAATCATAAGAAAATAAGACAATCACCAAGGGCCGGAGCCCCTCTGTGGTCTCTTTCATAGAGCTTCCGGTCTCACGACCAGAGCCTCTGTGGTTGAGCCTTAGGAAATAACTCGGTACCAAGGACTAGAGCCCCTCTGTGGTCCCTCCTCCAGAGCTTCTGTCTAACACAACTTGATACAGAGCTCTCATGTAGAGTTTCACTATAACATAACTTGATACGAATCTCTCATGCAGAGCTTCTGGCTAGCATGACACAAAGCTCGCATGACACAAAGCTCTCATGCAGAGCTTTTGTCTAACATACTTGATACAGAGCTCTTATGTAGAGCTTCTGTGTAACATTTTCTAAGGTGGCTTCTAAGCAGGATGCGATACAGCGTGTTTAACAAAAGAAATCTAATCCTTGAAATCGAACCCTAAAACACATTCTAGGGTTCTATACAGGGCAAAAGCCACGGCTAAACATTGTTTAAATCATAAATTTGGTCGAGTATTTACCTCTAAACGACGGGAAGCAGGAGGGTTTCTTGCTGGTATGAACTCCGGCTTCTCTCATTCTCTCAAACTCGACGATTCCTTCTTCTTTCAAAAGGATAACTACTCTAGACCAGTACCCCTGATTTATACTCAGGCGGTTTGGCCTATTAGTTGACCAAATCGGCCAAATCCCGATTTTTAGGCTGTGAGACTGTCTTCTCCACAGCATGAAATCATGCAGGTTGCAGTTTCCCCTTATGGGCCAGGCACCGCCTGTCCTCTGCTGCCTCTCCCAAGCTGACAGCAGGCTCCCCCTCCTCTAATTGGAGCCTTCAGCCCTTAGCCGTAAGTAAAAACAAAGTTAACTTATTTTAAACCTCTAACTTTTATTTAACATATATATATATATATGTGTGTGTGTGTGTGTATATATATATTCATGAATAAAATAGAAATAATAATAAAGATGCCTTATTTTATTCCTCGAAATTTTTGGGTTTTACATTTAACTTGATAAGCAAATGCAAGTGTAGACATGATTCTACAAGAGCTTAAAATGCTCAAAACACTCACTAGCGGGTTGGATATCCAAGTTAATAAAAAAAATTGCTCTTATTTTAGTTGCATATTATTATACATTGATTTGCTTCCATTTTAGTATATTTTGCCATAATATCAAAACGTTTTGTGTCATATTTAGACTGAGTCATCTTCGAAGATCACTGGTCGAGTCCTTCCAAGGTAACTAAGAATTTTTCTTAACTGTTCTTCAAAGCCTCATTAGTCTATTATATCAGAGTTAAACTTACGATATGTATCCTTAATAGTGAGATGAAGAAAGTAGTGTCAAAATACAACTATGAAAAGGAGTTTAGTTCAGATGTACTTCATCATTAAAAATAAAATGGAAACAAACTTATTGTACTGATGTGCTAGATATTGTATCTCTACAACATTAAGTGGTAACTCATGCATGTATAAATATGTTAACAATATCACCTTTTCAATTAATATAATGGTAAGACCAAGTATCGTATTCTAGAGGATAAGTATTATAGGTTGCAAGATCTCAAGATGAAAGACTAACTTCAGATGGTGAATTCGAAGAAGTATTTTTGATGAGGTGTTTTATAACTACTCATGTGAACAAATAATAAAAAGAAGTTAGGGTGTATGGATCCGTTAAGATATTCAACCAAATAAAGTTGGCAGAATGTTAGAGTAACACATATCCATAAACTTAACCTTTATATCGAATGTTAGAGTAACACATATCCATAAACTTAACCTTTATATCTCTATGTAATGTTAGAGTCTAGACAATGGCTCAAATCTTCCCTTATATAAGGTAAATGGAACGAAAACGACTCTCAACTATTCTAAGTAGCTCTCTCAAGTATACTTCCATATCATTCAAGTTAACTTGTGTTTGTTAGTTTATCTCTAAGTCCAACACACTTTAACACTTTTAAACAAGTATCAACTTATCCATGTATGTTATTTTGCAATATATACTTGAAAGATACAGTTGGAGATATTTTTTATTTGATTAACAACTTCCACCACCAAAAATTGGTTTTTAATCTTAACTTGCCGCATCATAAATATAAAAAAGCCATTAAAGGAAATTAAAGTACAAGAATATAAAAGACAATAATGGAAGA